AGAGAGAATTGATATGAGTAACGCAGTAGGTTTATTTGTGTCATAACAAAGAATACAGAACTACAAGCACAAGCCAAAGGTGTGTATTGTCTTATAAGTTCTTTCATATAATCGTCTATTTGTTCAACTCTGAGAGTAATTTTAGTAGCTTTTTGTTTCAATTTCCTCAATGTATCTTGTACCTTAGCATCATCCAAAATTTTGCCCTCTGATTCATTTAAAACCTGTAAAATAGACTTTTCGAGAAATCTAAGCTCCAATTTAAGTTTACTTTGAGTATTAATTAAATCCGTTCGTATCAAATTCACATCAGGATGTTCAACTTTAAGCACTTCATTGAGACATTGACTTTGTAAACTGCTACGTGTTGCACTAAAGTTTACAAATGTTACCTTGCTACATACGTCAGGTGAAAAATTAAAGTAAGGATTACGAGTCAATAGGAAAAGCGTAAATGATGGGGAGAAATCTGTATACTGTCCTCCCAATTTTATTAGGACGCGATCACCATTACGGTGCACTTCTCTGTTGAGAATGGAATTTAAAATAGGATTAAAATGTTCAGCATCTTGAACAAGTAAAGGGCAACCAAATCGAAGAGCATATTCCAAGACCTTAACAAATGAGTTATTTAAGAAACTAGTGGCAATAAATTTTTTATCTTTATTAAATTCATTCATCAAAAATGAGGTGGCTTGACCAGATGAATCAATGATGAGCGGATATCTATTGAACCACTTGAGCATGATGGCATTTTCTATAAATAAATCATCGGCTAAAAGAGAATTTGCTTGCCAGGAAAGACGATCATCAGCTGATGACAAATATTCTGCCACCGAAAATTCTTGTCTAACTTGAATATTGGAATTGAACAAGTGGTTCGTCCATTTTTTGATTAATATCTCACGGTATTGCTGATCAAAATATCCACCATAGGCAAGGAGTGCTGCCGAAAGCAATACATCACCTACAATTGTTTCCATTTGTGTTTCAAGTGCTCGACTACCAGTT